ACGGTTTGTACAAATTGAGTGGTTTGCATTTGATCGCTCCCCTATATATAGATATATAGATATATATATATATATATAGATATATATATATATATATATATTTAAGGAATAATCATATACAAACTCAATAAATGTTACAAACTTACAAACCCATTTTCATGTGTTGTTTAAAACACATGTGAAACATACAGTATTCATTCAGTGTTGTTTCATATATGAAACATTCATAAGCGTTTTTGCTTATGGAAAAATACACTAAAATACATCTATATATGCAACATACACATACAAGCATAAAATGTTTGGGGCTTAGACAGAATTAGAGATTTTAGAACCTCTTTTAATGGTTTTTCTGAAGTAGGAGCTTCAACCTATTAGACGGTTTGGATTGGTTTCTCCACGCGTTGGTAACATTTATCAGATTTGCATTTGATTATAATTTGGATTTGCAGTGTGCTCGAAAATGTTAGAATAAGTGTTTTGTATAAAAAATTAATCATAAATAATATTTTGTTTTGAAAAAATAAGAAACCAACTTTAATTATGTAACACGTATTTGATTATTTTGTTTTTTTGACTCAACCAATAATGCTCATCCATCTGGTCCCCTAAATATACTTGCAATGCTTCTGCATCATGGAATTTCTGGAGAATCTAACCGTCTATTGTTTTAAGCACATAATATATTAATTTTAAAAATTATATTTCTTTATAATTATTGGTCAATGTTATCATGTGCAAAATTCAAAAATATATATCTACGTGTATAATATTTATATATAATAAGCATAACATCTTTTTGATCGTAGATCGACCTCTTGTTTTTAGATATTGCCATCCAATAACCCTTTTAATACATAAGGATAAATTATATCCAAATAAAATGTAATTTATTTTTATTCAGGAAATTAAACATCCTAAAATTAATTTTAATATCCAAAACAAATGAAAAAGTCAAATAAATGTTTTTAAAAAAACTAGAAGAGTATTCGCGCAATGCAGCAAGACACATCTCGATTTTAATGTTCTATTTTATTATTTGTTTATGTCAATGTTATAATACGATTTTACGTGTTTTTAAAAATATAATAATGATTTTATTTTTGAATAAAATATAAATTTGAAAAAAAATATACCAATGTTAATATCAAATCAACTATTTAAAAGTTATTATTTTTTATGTAATTTCTTTAATTTATTTTTTTTATTATAATTTAATTTAAGTTTAATAACGAAATAATTTATTTTTAGTTTAATAATATAACATTTTATAAAAAAATAATAATTAAGTATTCTGTTAGAACTCAATGATTATCCTAATTATATTTTAGATTTTTATATTTAAAATAAGACGTTTATCCATGTATTTGATTATGTTTATCTGCAGTTAATTATACAAATTCAGTTATGAAACTTTAATAAGTTGTACTTACACACAATCTACTTGTAATCTTAAGTGTTAAGTAATATGCATTAATAAACAGTACTTTACGCATAAAAAATGGTTTTTAAGAGTTTTTGTCAAATGCTTTATAATATAGTATAGATATAAATACATTATTTATTTTGTTCATAATGTTATATAATAAGTTTTTTTACTGTATCGAATACATAGTATATTTTCATAACTAAAGATTTGAAAACAGTTCCTCAAAATAAGAATCAAAACACAGTATATTTAGGTTTTGTTTGTTTTTTAAAAAAAAAAAACTGTTAACAGCCTCTTATGTCTGATTCGTTAAGAGGTAAGGTCATTCAGACTGATTGTTTTTTTTAATTTTTCAGAGACACTTATATCTTATTGTTCTCTTATTTGATAAGAGGTAAACCAACTTTTTATTTGTCTCTTAGTGTTCTTCAGACCTTCAACAATGACATTTCTCAATCGTTTAACTTTAATCGATCATCTCTCTCAATCGATCCTTAGAACAATCCTCCCTTCTCTCAATTGATGTATTTTAATAAGATTTAAATGTGTTAAATACAATTATTGATATATTTTCTTTTAAGTGAACGCTAATTATACGATTTAGATGTAAATTTTATAATGATGATGAATGAATATGTGAAATTATAAAGATCTATCTATAAATTCAACACTACAAATTTTAATGGGTAAAATAGACAATTTAAACAAATTTTGATGTTTATCAGTTTACAAAACAAACAGTCTTATTGATTCGGATTTCAGAATTCACCACCACATCTTATAAATCATAAGTGAAATAAGATTTCAAACTTATCACCTCTTAAAAAACAAACATGATCTTAATTATTTAAAAAAATAAGTTCTGAAGTCACAAACTATTTTAGATAATAAAAAAACCAAATAAATTCATATATTTCAATCGAATATAAAATCAAGGAGAAGTGAGACCCTAAAATGAATAAAAATAAAAGCAAGACAATTATTTAAGTTGTGAACAGCAAATAGGATATAATTGTAATTTGTAAAATAATTATTATATATAATAAAGATTTATCCATTAATTAAATAAGATATTATATAAAATAAAATAAAAAGAGGCAAAGAGAGAAAGCACATGGAGATCAGATCAGCTAAACTCATATTGTACAGTAGATAAAAATATTATATCATCATTATTTTCGATAAACGACTAAATAACTAAACTAATATTAAACATGATGATCATATCATACTTCCTTCTCCTAATTTATATTTTACACCTTTTTCTTTAAATAAAAAAATTCATATTTTTACAGTAAAAATAACATTCTGACGTTATATCTATTTTTTCTAGTCACTAACAACACTATAATAAAATACATAATAATTTATATAGCTTGTTCATTTCTAGTCAATGATTACAAATTAAGTGTAAATCAAACACTGCTCAACAATTAAACAGACAGATCTCATGAATGAACGATACCCTCTTTGATTACATATCTCGGTAGTGAAATGACGACGTTTGAAAAAATGTTATTATGGTACTGGAACCCAAACGGGAGCGGATTGGATCGACGAGGGACTAAACTTGACTAAAAGATTATTTTAGGGGTGATTTGTGTAGAAAATAAAAGAATAACAAAAATGTTGTGCTAAAGATGAAGGACCAAACATGTATTTTGATTTTTTTTTTTCCAATTTTCAATATCCAATCCCCACCCAAAATTCCCATGTCCCAAAACCCCTGTTTTAATGGGAGTAATAATAATTAATTAAACCCAAAAAATTACAAAAAAATGGTGATTAATTTAATTAATCCCATTATCCTCTTTCCCACCTTTCTTGTAATTTAGCTCCACCTCATGACCACCACCACCACCACCACCAGTCGCCGCACCACCAACTTCTTTCGGACTATCCAACGCCCTTTTCTCCTCCTCCTCCGCCATCTCCTCCTCCTCCGCCTCCAACCGCCGCCGCCTCCTCACCGACTTTTTTTTCTCTGCCCTACTCCTCAACGCCTCCAACACCTCCCTCAAAGCCTTGTCGTTATCTCGCCGGTTTTTTATCAACACCTCGCTGATATCCGCCGGCGTCATCTCCGCGTCATCGATTACCGCCGACAGCTTCTCCAAAATCTCTGTTCCGACGTCACACCCCAAGTAATTCTTGAGCAGAATCTTGAGCGATGGGAAAGAACAGTAGTTCATGAAGACGTGCATATCCATTCGTCCACTCCGTAACAATGCCGGATCAAGCTTCTCAATGTGATTGGTTGTGAAAACGAATATCCGCTCCGACCCGCAACACGACCATAACCCATCTGTGAAGTTTAACAAACCCGAAAGCGTAATAGAGTTACTGTTCTCCGGATCGCCGGGACCACCCAGTCCGCCGGGCCCATTTCTCATTTCTGAACCTCCTTCGCCGTTGGTCTTTTTACGATTTGTCAGATTTATGGAACAGTCAATGTCTTCGATTACGATGATKGATTTSGAACTMGTYTTCATRAGCAAYTTCCGGAGCTCCRAATTCGTSTKWACYTCRGTWARTTCGAGRTCGTAAATGTCGTACCCAAGGAAATTCGCCATTGCAGCGATCATGCTTGACTTGCCGGTGCCGGGTGGACCATACAAGAGGTAGCCACGTTTCCACGCGCGTCCTGTTCGTTTGTAAAATGACTGACCGTCGGCGAAATCTCGGAGATCGGACATTATCTCTGCCTTTTTGGTCGGATCCATTGCTAGGGTGTCAAATGTGCTCGGATGCTTAAACGGCACCGATTCCCACGGATGTCCGCGAGAATCGAGAGAGCCGCCGCGGGAATTCGTGTACAGCAACCTATCCTGATTCTTCCTTCGGATTTCGTTGGCTTTCTCAGTGATGAAATCGAGATAAGCTTCGAGGATGTGAGGTTTATCCCTCTTGTTGATCCGGAGCGTGAACCCACGCTTCTCCTCCGGCAATGGCCGCCACGAGAACGTCTGCGATTGTCGGGGAGTGACGATGTGTTCCCAGACGACGGAAACGCCGTTGAAGACGTCGCAGAGTCGGTCGTTGTTTGAAAGGCCGAAGGTGATGGCGGAGGAGTTGAGACCACGAGTAAGTGACAGACGGTTGGAGGTGGGGGCAGTGGTGGTGGTGGATGAAGCGGAGGAGGAGAGATAAAGCTGGACGGCGTTGTAGAGTTCGTTGGTGTTGACGCCGTCGATCTCGGTGATTTCGTAATAACAGTAGGAGGAGAAGCAGTTGAAGAGGCGTTGAAAGAGTTTAAGAAAGGCAAAACGGAGCTCCGGTGGGATGACGGTGTGGAGGAGGGTTTGACAGAAGGCTAAAACACCCATTAGAGAGGCCATGGTCGTCCAGAGCTCCTTCATGGTGATGATGGGGGTTAATGGTAGAGATCGATCGATGTCGAGAGCCAGAACAAGTGGTTAGAGGGATTTATAGAGATGAGTACAAGTGAATACTAGGTGACTTGTGCTAACAAGTTTAGTCCGTGACTAAAAGACAACACTTCCAACCTATATTTTATTTTCATTCAATATTTGGCCTCTTTTTGTTTTAATTAATTATTTGAAAATATTTAATACAAAAATTAATTAAACTATATGATTTCATCTTTTAGTTATTTTTTTTAAATTACAAAAATAGTCACAGATTCGTAATCGAGTGATTTATGAAGGGGTTAAAGTATAAGAAATAAATGAAGTTTATGAACCAGGTCCTTAATTGCAGGGAGCAAATATATAAATTTGAAAACAAGACATTTTTGCGGACCTATTAACTAATTTACATATTTGGTTCTTGTAACTACGGACCTAGTTCAAAAACTTTATTTTTTACACTTTGACACATCTAGGACTGTAAACGAACCGAACGAACATGAACGGAGGCTTGTTCATGTTCGTTCGTTTAACTTAACCGAACACGAACGGTAAACGAACGAAAATAATTGTATTCGTATTCGTTCGTTTAGAAATCAAGTGTGTTCGTGTTCGTTTATGTTCGTTCGTTAACAAGTTAAACAAACGTAAACGAACGAACATAAACGAACATGTTTAAACGAACATAAACGAAAAGGCCTAACGAACATAAACGAACAGGTTTAAACGAACATAAACGAACAAGCCTAACGAATAGAAACGAACATGCCTAAATGAACATAAACAAACGAACACCACTATTTGTCATTCAGTTAACTATTTAACACCAATTGTCCATAGTTTAAACATACACAAATCAATAAACATTCATCAACCATCATTAATATACCAAAAAAAAAAAAATCACCATCATCATTTGAAAAAAAAAAACAATCCTCTCATCATCATTTGTCAGTTGTCACTTCATAGAAGTTCAATATATATCATATCATCAATTTCCTACAACAAACAAACAAAATAATTATTAGTTATTGTCAGAAAACAAGTATCATAATTGATAAGATTAAGCAAATTACCTTGGTTTTCTTTTTGTGTAGTCCATAATGATGACGATACCAATCAGCTCCGCAAATGAGCATATCTACCGTCTTTGTCCCTAAAGAGGTTCGATGAGCATCGATAACTCTCCCACCAGCACTAAAAGCTGATCCTGAAGCAACAGTAGTTATCGGAATTGCCAAAACATCAGCAGCCATTTTAGACAAAATTCTGAACTTCAGATTTTTTTTTCCTTCCACTACTCCAAGGCATCAAAATATGCACCTGAATCACCAATGTACACGCCTTCTTCTAAATAAATGTCTACCTCTGACTTCATTCTTGTAAAAGTTTTAACGCTTCTGATATGTTGATCATACTTTGCCGTGCCACTCTTGATACCAACTCTAGAACTTAACTTGTTCTAACCACTCTTAACTCCACGTTCACTCTTGTCAGGTGCACTACTCATTTGAACAACATTAGTTGTTTTATGTTGTTCAACATACTCTTCAAACATTTTAGTAAGAGTATCTTGAACAATTTTCATTTGCTTAGGTGCCTCATCTGCTGAATAAATGGAACTAAAAGAGAACTCAACCAACTTCATCTTGTATCTAGGATCTAAAACAACACCAATGGAAATCAACAGATTACAAGTACACCCAATATTTGTCAAATTTCTTTTTCATCTTGAGAGCCATATCTCTCATGTATTTACTCTCATCTAAAGACAAATCATCTAATCTTCTTTAATCCCATACAACTCACTAAGAAACAAATTAGATGTAGGATATTCGGAGCCTATAAAATAAAAGAAGTAAATAAAAGTCTATGAGAATTAGGTGATTAGCTTTGAAAAAATGACTTATAATGAAAATCATAAAGAAAATCAATAATACCTGAAATTATTTTTGTAACCTCATTGAAAAGCCCCAAGAAGGAGCAAATAACTTCAACTTTGTCCCAATCTTCTGAGGTCGGCAAGGTCTTGTATGTTGATTCTCGATCGGCATAATTCACAAACACTTCTTTAAACTCCAAGGACGTAGACAACATAGCATACGTAGCATTCTATTGGGTACTAACATCTAAGATCAAATTCTTCTTTGATAAGGTCATTAGCTTGGAAAATTCGCTAAATATATGCAATCGACCGGAGAGGCATTCACGTGTTTCACACTCTCATGAACATTGTGAATAATGTCTTTTATTTCCGATAAACCATCTTGAACCAACAAATTGAGAATATGTACACAACAACTCATATGGAATAACTTCCCCCCAACAACAAGCTTTTTCTGAATATTCATAATTTTCATCAACTTTGTAGCCACCACATCATTAGTTGTAGCATTGTCAACCGTCAAAGTAGCAAGCTTTATCTCAATATTCCACTCTTTCACTTAAAGAGAGAATCATATATACATAGTCCAGAATAAGGTGGTATTACATCAACAAAACTTAATATGCATTTGTTAAGCTTGAAATCGGAATTTATAAAATGACAAGTAACAACCATATAATGAATATTCTACACCGACGTCCACATATTAGTTGTTATACTCACACGATTGACAACGCTTAACATTTTCTTGATTCTTTTTTTTCCTATCTCATAACTAGCAACACAATCTTTCTTAGCCGATGCATGTGAAATATTGTTAAACCCGGGGTTAGCTTCCTTCATAACCACATTAAATAGTCCATACTCAACAAAATAAAATGGCAGCTCATGAACCATAATCATGTGAGAAACAACCTCTCTAATCCTACTGTTGTCAAATTTCCAGTTTTGGACCATAGAAGAATCTAATTTCCCCGACACAACCTTTAACTTTAACTGACATGGATGAATGGTGTTGACGGCTCTTAACTTTGGGCAATCACAAATAAAAATGATCCCACATAACCTTCATACACTTAAATAAGTGTTTCTCCAAGCAACTTTCATGAATCAACGATGTATTATCTGAGAAACTTAGAAAGCGACACAGATTGGGAATGAAGTGGACAAAAACTCAAATTCATAAACCTATCAACAATTCGAAATCAAGCCCTAAATATGATCATCAGCTCTGCCATTACAAAATCACATCTTCGGTATCTTTAGCAATAATCAGTGAAATATAGATCGTAAACGGTCATTGAAGCGTCGAACATTGTTACTTATTACAGAGAGTTTACTGAATTACTTTCGTGTATAAGCTGAAATGAATTAATAAACAAAACAAAAAGGTAAAGCAGTAACATCGTGAATTTTAAACCACATAATATCTTAACATGCCTTTTTGGCTGAATTGATATCGGCGAGCCTTGATCGTTGACAGAGGAACAAAGAATTTACTCCGGCGAGCTTCGTCAGAATTCTCACGCGAAAGAAAAAGCATTGTCCATTCTAATCGTTTTCTTTTCGGTCGAAGATTTGAGTCTTATCGGAGATATTCTTAACGGGTTTTTGATTAAAAGGTCAAAAATCCAAGTTTGATTCATGATACGATGGTTTTGGTTCAAATTGCAGCCGCAGACTCATACGTTTTCTTGGTGAATTGGTTCAAAAGATTCCCACATTACAAGAACAACGACTTTTACATTATCGGAGAAAGTTATGCAGGGATAGAGAACATGTCAAAATACATCTATCGAACACATTCTAAGCTCCATAATCTCTTCAAAATACTCTTTCATGACGATCCTTTAAGGTAGCAAAGTTGAGAGAACGTACCTTGACAGAGACTGTCTACCCTTCTGTCCTTCACGATTGGCGATTGATCTACAGCGCACCTGTCCCCTTCTGCTTCTGCCCTTCACGAATCACGACCAGTCGACCAGAAACTTCACCTAGAATTACCCAGTTAGAACTTAGAAGACAAACAAGTGAACAACCCTCTTAAAAAAGGCCCAATATTAAAAGGCCAAAGCCCTCTTAAAAGCCCAATACTTAAAAAGGTTTTTGAAATTTGAATTCAAACTAAATAAATAAAAACTATATATTAAAATTAATATATAAACGAACATAAACGAACAAACGTTCACGAACATAAATGAACGAACATAAACGAACGAACGTTCACGAACATAAATGAACGAACAAGACTCTTGTTCAAGTTCGTTCGTTTAACTAAACGAACAAACTTTTTTGTTCATGTTCGTTCATTTATTAATAAACGAACTTCCCGCCGAACGGTTCACGTACGGTTCGCTGAACGTTCGGTTCGTTTACAGCCCTAGACACATCCACAAATTATGGACCTGTTAATTACGAGCCTATGACTATGTTCGTAATTTTATAAGATAAATAACTAATATATGAACCCACCGGTCAAAATAACTATTTTAATTAATTTTCTTATTTAATTATAGGGAAAGAAAAAGATTCCATCGAAAAATCATTGAATTTTTTCTTTTTCAATGATTATGTTACTAAACATTTTCTTTGAATAGACAACAATTTAATCGATCTTCCTCTCTTTGATCCATTTTTTTGTCTTTCGGTTTTCTTCTGTAATAACAATTTAATGAAGTATGTTTAGACAGATCAATAGAGTGAAAATCGAAAAGCAACAAAACCGATAAAAAAGGGAGATCGATGGCAGAGGTCAGCAATGGTGATGGCCGATGAAAGAGAGCGGATAACGATCTGGCAACGAGGGGTAGGGAGCAAGAGCAATGATGTTGTGTGCGAGGGGGAGCAATTGCACTGGGTGCAAAGGGTTTATATGGCGTGGGATTTGGGGACAGTAAAACTGATTTATGTTTTTTTTTTAACTTTAGAATCATCCTAGCTGGTTACATTTAGCTTTTTTGAATTAAAAAAATGTAGGTAACCAATTTCTAAAAGTTTGATGCTTTATTTAAAAAAATCATCGACTTAATTATTGAAAATGAGAAAATGCAATATTTTTCATTAATAAAGTCCATTGATTTAATTAATCAAAACATGAAGGTTCGTCGGATTTTTCTA